TGAAAATACATTAAGAGCTTTTTAATTCCCTCAAAACCGTTTAATTTCTTAAAAATTGCTTCAGCATATCTGGATCTATTTTTATCTTTTTATTTTATGTTTCCTTTTATGTTATTTTTAGCGTTAAGCAACAATTTTGTTAACATTTGTACATTTTTTGCAAACTTTAGCTTTTACCTAATCTTTTGCCGCATTTAGGGAACCTTTAACACTTTCATCTATCATTTAGCTGTTTTAGCTTTTAGCCCTTTTGCTTTTTTAACCACTAATTATTAGGCTTTTGTTTTTTTCAGCTAATCCGTTGTTACTTTTAGCTAAATCTTTTGTTGCTTTTAGCTTTCCATTGATACTTTTATCTAGACTTTTGAAACTTTTAGTTATGATTTTACTATTTTAGCCTTTAGCCCTGTTGTCTTTTTATCTGTTAGTTAGCATTTTGCTACTTTTAGCAAATCTTAGCAGATTTAGCAGATCTTTTACTCTTTAAAGCTCATCATTTTTGGTTTAAGCTGATTTTCTTTTGCTACTTTTAGCTAGCCTTATACCTTTAGGTATTATTTCTCTGTTTTGGCTTTTTGTCATTTSCTATTTCAACTATTAAGTTATCATTTTGCTACTTTTAGCTGATATTTGCTGATTTAGAAAACTTTTTTTTTGTTTTTCACTTATCTTTTGTTGATTTCGCTGATTTTTTTTTGCTTTTAGCTAGACTTATCGAAATTTTAGCTTATGTTTTACCATTTTAGCTTTTAGCCCTTTTACCAGTTTTAAGTATTACTTAGGCTTTTGCTACTTTTAGCTAATATTTGCTGACTTAGCAAATTTTTTGCTACTTTTAGCTAATATTTGCTGACTTAGCAAATCTTTTGCTACTTTTAGCTAGCCTTTTGATACCTTTTAGCTATTATTTCTCTGTTTTAGCTTTTTGTCATTTGCTATTTCAAATATTAAGTTATCATTTTGCTACTTTTAGCTGATGTTTGCTGATTTAGAAAACATTTTTTTTTGTTTTTCACTTATCTTTTGTTGATTTCGCTGATCTTTTTCTGCTTTTAGCTAGACTTATAATTTTAGCTACCATTTTAGCTTATAGCCCTTTTGCCAGTTTTAAGTATTACTTAGACTTTTGCTACTTTTAGCTTATATTTGGTGAGTTGACTAATCTTTTGCTGCTTTTAGCTAAATATATGACACTGAACTATTTTTCTGCGGGTTTAGCTTTTAGCTATTTGTTATTTCGGCTGTTCGTTAGCCTTCTGCTTCTTTCAGCTACTCTTTTACTGCTTGTAGCTAATTCTTGGCTAGTTTTAGTTAATGTTCTGTTTATTTATTTTTTTACTTTATTAACTCAGTTTCTACAGAAAAATAAATCCCTGCAGTAAAAACACAGTTTGACTCGTTCTTCAGCTGCTCTTTCTGTTTTTACTGATATGAATTTAAACCTTCGTCTTGGAGTTTTTTCTTCACTCTGACCAGATTTTATATTTTTATTTGATCAGCGGCGGTCCAGACCAACAGCCACCAGCACTACGACCAAAGCCCCGCCCCTTACAGCTACAACTCCTACAGCGGGGCGACACGAGGCGGGGGCGGTGCGGACCGACCTCCCTCAGGAACCCCCAACGCTTCAGTCCACTCGTCCCCGGGTCACCCCTCAGGTACGGGCAGCGACACGCTTCAGCTTCAGGGTTCTGTTTCGTATTTTACGAATTTTATCATCCTCAGAGCTCAACAGTCACTTCACAGCTGCTCTCTGGAAACGTGCACGTGATCCGTTGACGTGCACGAACATTTGCAGGTGTTCGAGTGCGGGCGAGACTCGATGCAAATTTGAAGGTTTCAGGGTCAGGAAGACGTTTAATCTGGTCTGCGATGCTTCTCTGCACCAGTTAGACTTTATTTAACGACTAAAAACAACGTCTGTTTGGTTTTATTTTAACTTTTGATCAATAAAAGAACATTTCCGACACAGTTTTATTCTGTTTAGTCAGAAATGTTTGTACATGTTTTTTTTCTTCGGCTGTTGCAAAACGTTGTTGAAACCTGCCTGAGCAGCTCTGAAGTCAAACTGTGGCTTTCATCCAGAAAATTACAGCCAAAATAAATGTTGCTTCAGGGTTTTTATGTACAAATAATTTCAGTTCGTTGATGAAGCTGAGTTATTAAAACAAAAAACACTAGCCGAGAGCTAAAAAACAAGCAAAAGACTAGCAAAAAACTGCTAAAGAGAGCAAAAGAGTTCAAGTAGCAAAGTGCTAACAGCTAAGAACAGCAAAAATGATAGCTAAAAGTACAATAAGTTTATGCAAAAGCTACAAAATATTAGCTAAATCTGCTTAAAGTAGCAAAAGACATTGACGTTGAAATACCAAAGGGCTAATACCTAAAATAGTAAAATGATAGCTAAAAGTATCGAAATGTTAGCTAGAAGTGACGAAAGATAGGATAAAAGTGGATAAAGGTTTGCTAAATCTGCAAATATTAGCTAACAGTAGCAAAAGGCAAACTTAACTGTTGAAATAACAAAGAGCTAAAAGCTAAAATCAGCTAAAATGATGGCTAAAAGTATAATAAATTTAGGTAAAAGCAACACAAGATTTGCTAAATATGTAAATATAAGCTAAACGTAGCAAAAGGCTAACAGTACTTGAAATAGCACAGGGCTAATAGCTTTAAACAGCAAAATGATAGCGAAAATATCTAAACATTAGCTTAAAGTGGCAAAAGATTACCTAAAACCAGCAAAAGATTAGTTATAATCAGCTAATGATTAACTGAAAGTAGCAAAAGGCTAGCAGTTAGAAGGACTAAAGGCTAAAATAGCAAAATGATAGCTAAAATTCTCAAAAGGCTAGATAAAATTATCAATGCATAGCTAAAAGGAGCAAAAGGCTAACTCAGCAGTTGAGAAAGCAAGAGGCTAATAGCTAAAAACAGCAAAAGTTTTAGCTGTAAGTATAAAAATATTAGCTTAAATTAGCAAGAATTAGCCATGAGCAGAAAAACCTGAAAATAGCAAAATGCCAACTAACAGTTAAAAGGACTAAAGGCTAAATAAAATATCAAACTGTTAGCTAAAGGTTTTGCTGCTTCCTCTTGTGGGCATAGACCAGGACTTGTGAAGATCCAGATCTGGTCAGCTGACGGTCACTCGCCCCTCTTCAGTTTTCTGATGAAGTTTTTGCCCCTCCCCCTCCCCACAGGCCTGCAGTATGGATATGTTGCTAATAGTGGAGCTAGCTCCGCCTCTGCCGCTACCTCGGGCCCAGCTGGAGCCCTGTCTTCATCCGGCTCTGAGGATGAGGAGGACGATGAGGAGGAGGAGGATGAGGAAGCAGGTCTGCTTTAGCTTTTACCCCCTCTCTTTGTTCCCACTTTTCCCCCGTCACAAACTCCACTTCTAAACCCTCACCTCCATCCGTCTGATCTGCTCGTCATCCCAACCTTCAACACGACTTCCTGTTCCATAATCTCAGCAGATTATTCACCTTTTATCTGTTTCCTGTCACTTTATTCTGCCCAAACTCATCAGAGCTCATTTTATTCATCCATTTGTTTTTATTTGATCAATTTATCAACCAAAAATAGAAAGAAAATCAAAATATTATGTTTGTATTTATATATAAACGAGTTTAATTAAGTCAAATTCTGAGCTTTTATGAAGGTTTTTCTCATTTATATTATTTTTATTTATTTTTGCACAACCAGGTGATTAAAATAAATTATTTTTTTTATAAAATAAATCTTTTAGAGTTTGCAGGAAATGGTCTTGACTGTAAAAATGTATAAATTAGATGTTTTCTTTGGTTTTACAGAATGTTGATGCAGTTTTACTGAATATAAAAATCAGTCAAACTATTGAAAAAGCACTTTTTGTACARCTAAGTGTTTACATCAGAACCAAACAGAAGAGAAGAAAAAGCAAAGTTTTATTTTGAAATGCAAATAATCCGTTGTTATAAGAGAGTCTAATTTCCATAAAGTTTTTTATTTGCATTTTAAACAAAATTTTAAAATAATTCAGTGATTTTTTAATTTGTCTTCTGGATTTAATGTTTATTTTTTAAACTCATTTAATAATGTTGAAAACGTCTCGTGTTCGGCTCATGGCGCTCCCCGTGGAGTTTAGCCCTCCACCGGAGCTTAGCAGGTGTTTAAATTTAGCCCCTCCCCCGTGGACAGGTGTTTGCCGACTCGTCACCAGAGAGGAGAAGCAGCAGGTTGGTTTTAGCTTCTCGTTGGTCTCTCGTGAACTCGTTTCTCCCTCGTGTCGCTGCGACTCACATGTTGACTCGTTCGTACGGAGCTAAATTAGCCACATAAAGCTTGTTCAAAAGGTTTGTTGGAAACTGAAAGAAAAAAATTAAAATTGAAAGATAATTTTGAAACTAAATTAAAAAAATGTTTGAAACTTAAAAAGTATGTTGTTTATATTTGATAATATGATACAAGGGCCTGCCATACTTAATTATATTACATGACCTGCAATATTTTTTTAATTATATGATGTGGTCTGCTGTGCATAAATGTAAGATAGAACAGCCTGCCATACATTATTATTTGATACGACCTGCCATATTTCTTATAAGTTGAAAGGACCTGCCATACCTCATTAATAATATTACCTGGATTTAGAGGAAACTGAGGAGACCGGTTCTGGAGGTTTTAGAGGAACTGAGACCGGTTCTGGAGGATTTAGAGGAACTGAGACCGGTTCTGGAGGATTTAGAGGAAACTGAGGAGACCGGTTCTGGGGGATTTAGAGGAACTGAGACCAGTTCTGGAGGATTTAGAGGAACTGAGGAGACCGGTTCTGGAGGTTTTAGAGGAACTGAGACCGGTTCTGGAGGATTTAGAGGAACTGAGACC